ACAAACTTGAAGAAAAAAACAAGAGAGACAGGAAAGAGCGCAGACTACCAACTGTTTATTGTCGTTTTTGGAAGCCAATATATACGCATGCTATGCTATATATATTGCTATATATATATATATATATATATATATATATATATATATATATATATATATATTGGCTTCCAAAAACGACAATAAACAGTTGGTAGTCTGCGCTCTTTCCTGTCTCTCTTGTTTTTTTCTTCAAGTTTGTGCAGCAATTCAATTTTTCAAGTATGAGCCAACTAGTCTGCAAAAAAGTATTGGCTCAACCAAAGCCTCCATAGGCTTCTGTCTGCGTGTCTGAAAAAAAAAGTTTGTACACGTGCTGCGTTGGACACACCTATAGTCGTCGCAGCAGCTGTTACTCACCTACTTTCCCAAGCGCGTCTGTGCGAAAATAAGCATAATGTATGATTGAGCACCTGCCAGTTGCCATCTGCATTAAAAAAAGAAAAGAAAATGAACATAAAGTTTTAGCTTTTTTTTTTAAAGCGCTTCATCTGACGCGTTTTGTTTATTTTACAAACTTACGTTACAGAGATGCCTTTAATGTTAGTTTTAATGAACGTGACACTGCTGGGTCATCCAGGTTACTTAGAACAAGAATCGTTGTTCCTTGGGCCTCATATAAAAAGTCAATCCCGCGACGCCCGTGCAGAGCAAAAAAAAAACAAGAAAAAAATTTATCTTTTAATTTAAACAAAGATTTGCTCAAGTAAGCAGAACTGAACGAAAAGCATCTTGCCGCCGATTGGCTGGGAGCCTAGGTCGTCGTATTAGTGCCTAGTCTAGACACACACACTTTCTCACACTCTCTTTCTCACTCTTTCTCACACTCTCTCTTTCTCACACTCTTTCTCGCTCTCTCACCAACACCGGTGTTGCTCTCACACTCGCTCTCTTTCACACGCACTCTCTTTCACGCACTCTTTTTCACTCTCCCTCTCTTTCACACACACTCCCTATCTCTCTCTGCCTGAACATGTGGATGGGGAAACGGCGCCACCCTGTCTCACTGTAATAAGAAAACTGTGTGCGTAATTTGAGGGTGTGGGCTTTGGATTCCACCTGTGGCAAGATCTTTTTGTGCAATAAAGCTATTAGTAACCAGTTCGAATTTTTCGTGGTGCCGTCTCGTGAAGGGGAAAAATGCTTTAGCGATTGAAGCCTATAGGGCGCACGTTCTTTGAAGACCCGCACCCTACTAAGCATTCATCTGCAGAAAGGAACAATATATTGAGATCACGTAATTGCTCGAATGTGATGAGCTCGTAGTGCATACCGCGTACGTTTCCCGCTAAAAGATTGCTGTTGTGCAGCGTGGGAGTGGGACCATATGCCTTTCTTTTTTTTTTTTTCAAGTAACTCTCCGAATAAATAAACCGTGATTATCGTTGAAGACATCAATGCTGACATTGTGAGAACCGACAAGGAGAATTGTTTCTTGCCGTTCGTCAGAGACGGCTTTGGATTCCCATGCTACAACGACGCCAGTCAACCAACCACGCTTAACAGAGAACCCCGCCATGGTAGTTCATAGTCGCTAACGCACTCGGCTGCTGACCCGCAGGTCGCAGGATCGAACCCAGGCCGCGACAGCCGCATTTTAGATCGGGCGAAAATGATTGAGGACCGTGTGCTTAGATTTAGGTGCGTGTTAAAGAACCCCAGGTGGTCAAAATTTCCGCGGAGCCCGGTGTCTCTCATAATCAAAAGCGGTTTTGGGACGTTAAACCCCGGCAATTATTATTGCGCTTTACATAGTGTTTTGATTTGTTGCTTACGAACGTAGCGGAAGTGGGCGCAGAACAGGTCACCATGTTCCACATAAGCGCAGGGCGATTTCCACAACCATTACTCTAACGGAGTACGCTTGGAAGTTATATCTGGTTACTTTCAGAGCAACGCAAGAACAGGACAAAGCACCAAATATGAGAAATGCAAACATCCTCTGCATCTCTTGCGCAGTCAATTTTTTTACCTTTTTTCTTGAAGTTGCCCAGCTTATCTCAGCTTGCCCAGCTTATCACGCTTCTGCGCTCGTATAGTGGTTGCTTTCAACACCTTCGCCGGACATCCACTTCTACAGCGCCGGCTGAATGCGTTATGCTATGCATTTCACGCCGACTAAACGGGTGTCCATCCGTCACATTATTCGATCACCACAATAATGAAATAAATTCATAGCGGTGCTGGGTTTGCGAGCAGGTCCCCAGGATCCAAAGGCGAGTGCCTGGCCCGTAACTATAGTGGGGAGCGTTTTGTAACCGGTGAGGTGGTTCTGACAGTGCAATTTTTTTCATGCTTTAACTTTTCGGGTAACACTTAAATATTTACATCCCTTCACCTTGACCACCAGTTGCCAAAGCCAGCTGTTCTGCTCATAAACGTCCCCCGAAAAAAAAAAAATTCTTGGGTATAGGGCTTTGGCGAGTGCCTTAACCATTGTGCTACATAAATGAGCTTGCAGATTGTGAATATATCGGAAGTATATCAATTCGTTGTACCAGTGGTACAAAACTGTGAAACGCTTTTTGTAAAGACTTTGCTGAAATAAGTAGTGAACAATAAAAGCCCTCCAAGACAGTATGCATAGCCGCACATCACGAAAATTCGGACTTTTGGAAAATACGATGCCAAACACGCGTTTTCGTGATCGTGGGATGGACCTTTCGTTGGACTGTTGCATTACGCCGACCAACGCTGGAGATGAGACAATGAATTAATACACCCCGAGATTTCGTTGGCTGCATTAGCGAACTTTATTCGGTAGGGCGACTGAGAGTCGAGTACACTTCTTTATGCTGATCCCGGTCTTGTATCTATAGAGGCAGCCTGTTTTTTTTTTTCTTTGTGTGTGTTCTTGAGTTTTCTTCGTGTTGATATTCGGGCACGCTTTCCAAGCCTCGTCGGACCTGGTCTGGACGAAAGTGGCGTGGCGCCTGACGTAGCAGCGTCCTGTTTGTTAGGCACGTTATCTGTATCTGCGCCGTCTTGGCATGTGCGTCTCTTCAACCCGTGCTTGCAGCAACGCTTTTTGCTGGCCGCAGCTGGGGTTTCCTCGCCGCACGCAGCCGGCGGTTTCTTAGGTTCGCGACAGGCATATAATAGGCGAGGTGCAACCAGGGCGTCACATGTGCGTCATCCACGTCGCTTCGTTTATTTGTTTGTTTTTACGATAGTGACAAGGTCAAAAGAAACTCGTGGCGTTGATGATGTTGCATTTATCTCGAGTTTCTACATACTGTCCTTGTGAACGTCTCCCTATGTGACCTCTTGAAATGCTTATTACTTGAGAGAACCCTGGTCGCATCACCTTTGCGGCGCAGCAGTAGACGCATTTGACTGGTTGTTGGCGTTTCACGAATCGACAAGTATTAAAAATTCCAACTGATCGCGCAGTAACTGTTCATAACTATATATTTGTTTCACGACAGGGAAGGGAAAAATCTACACAAAGGGCGTATAGCTCGGACAAAAAAAAAAAAGATGGGGGGGGGGGGGGGGAAGGGGGCGTGATGTATATGCACTGCGGTAAGGAGAAGAAAAACGTGAATGAGCGCTCTAATCATCGGATAATAAAAAAAAAGTGCAAAAAGACGGGACGAAAACGACAGGACGGGCGACTTCTTGAGTGAGTGAGCAAACTTTATTTAACCAGCGGATTGAGGCATGGGCTTAAGTCTTCTTGTGTCCAGTCTATTTAGCGCTCTACTTTTATTTTCAGACAATGCACCAACTCGCATGGCAACACATTTTATTAAGCTATAATAAACGCTGATGGTTATCAAATAAACAGCTCTATAAATTTATTCTGTGAACAACACTAACGCTGCATGCAGTGTTGCTTATAGGAAGCAAATACCGTTAAACCCACTGAGTGAATCGACTATTGTTATCGTGCCACGTGTGCGCGTTCCGACGTTTTGAAAGCCTCTATTTTTACCTTTTGTTCTTCCCAGTGACTGTGAGCAGGTTACTTCCAAGTTTCTTTTTTCCTTTGCACAGTAGTTTTCGCTGCTGTTCACCTCTGTGAAGCGGTTGCGTCTAGTCCTCTCATACGAACATTATTTTATGTCTTGCCTTATTACAGTGTGGTATAAGCAGCTGGGCAAACTCCAGATATTCCTGCCCGACAAAATGAAGTAATTGAATGACGGGGTGAGGTATGCCGGTGGCATCCGCATAGGGCATATATTATTCAATGCGGCTAAAACTTTTTATGCTAAAATGGGCTATCTAATCATTCGCCCTCACCACTGGGTCTTCCAGAGGTGAGGGCGAGAACTTCGATAAAATTAGTAGTTACTCCCGTCGCTCCACCTTCTCTGTGAACACTCCCCCCCCCCCCCCCCCCCCCATTTTTTTTCTTAGGAGCATTCACAACGCACTCGCGCGCACACACACACACATATAATTGTGTGTATGTATATATATAATTCGGAGTGTGTATATTGTCTGTGTTTGTGTGATAAATGCGTGGCTATATCTGTGAATTATAACCACTATAGCATAGCCAAACTATTCGCAAGACAGATTTTCTGCCACCTTATTGTTGTTTTCATGCATCTTCTATCCGCAATGCGGAAAAGCAAGATTGCAGTTGATCCGAGCACTTGCGTAAACACGCGTCCTCGTAACGTTTGCCTTTGGAGTCAAAGAAATTTTTACCATCGTGATTATGACAAATTGAGCAGCACGAACTTTTTTTAATTATAAATGGTGTTACATAATTACTTTCAGCAGCTGGTTATCACGTAGTTGCTATCATTAAGCTCTGAAATGGAAACGAGCTGTAACGTGCAGCGATATACTTTATTACGAGTTTTGTAAGCAGGTTCTACAAGGTAAGATAAAGTAATGTGATGTAGGGCGTAATATTAAACAACAATGTATTTTTTGTTCTTGTGCGTGTAAGCAACCAGATTTGGAGAGCTCTGTTGGTGACATTCCCAAATTTTATTTCGTTTTAGGCGAAGAAAGTCGTCTTGAGAAAACTGCGGGGAAGCCCACGATGTTCCACTACTTGGACCTGCCTATGCCCTCGGACAAGTCCTTGTGCACTTACATCTGGATTGATGGTACCGGAGAGCTACTACGTTCGAAGACACGAACCGTCAACTTTGTGCCAAAAAGTGCTGAAGGTAACCAATACTGTGTTTTTGTTAAATTACTCTGTGCTCAATGGAATTTTCATGGAGCAATTTTTGCAAGTCGCACTAAAAAAAAACTTATGTGTTTTTTTTCTCCTTGTTAGAGCTGCCTATGTGGAATTACGATGGCTCCAGTACTTATCAGGCCCAGGGATCTAACTCTGATGTGTTTCTCAAGCCTGCTGCGGTGTTCCCGGACCCTTTCCTGAGGGGCAACAACAAACTGGTCATGTGCGAGACGTACAGGCCCAACAACGAGCCAACAGGTACAGACAACTTGCCATTGTCTGTTCTTCCTTCATTTATGTAACGGGACAGTTGTTGCTATGACAAAAAAGATCTTGAAGTGTCAAGAGGCAGTAGGATTGGGTGTGTTGGTATAACATTGTAGTGCTTTCCAGCGCAAACGACAGGGCAGGAGGGTACAGGAGAAGAGACGAGACAGAGTGCTGAACTGCCAACAATGTATTTCTTGCGAAGGTCTTTGCTTTTATACAGTTACCAGTCGCAATAGTCATGCACGAAACACAATACCAAAGCATAAGTACATCACACCGACAAGCAAAGGAACAAGCAAAGGAACAAGCAAAGGAGCGTGACAGAAGGGGTGCTACCGCAAGCATCTTTCAATGAGCAAACCTTTTCTGCCTTTATAAGCTCGCGTGTGGTGCGATCCCTGCATCTTGCAACAATAGTACACTGAAAATATTGGCCGGCAGCCACACGTGCTGCAGTGAACAGACAGCCATCTTTGTTTATAGTGATCCACATTGTACATATGTTCCCTCAGCCTCTCATTTATACAACGACCTGTTTGACCGAACTAATACTTTCCACACGATAACAGCAGCTGATGCACCACATTAGATACGCAAGATTAGGCAAGAAATAAATTGTTGGCAGTTCAGCGCTCTGTCTTGTTTCTTCTCCTGTCCCCTCCTGCACTGTCGTTTGCGCTCATAAGCACTCTTTATTGTGGAGTGTCGCAAGCTTTTCGTGTTCTTGGGTGCAACGCCTTCTTCGTTGAAATTTTACTTTAGCGTGCTCTTAGATTCTCCACAAAGAGGCAATCTCGTTTGTCGATGCAGTTGTGGTGGTGTTGTTTGCTCATTAGCATGCCGGCTGGTTAGCAGTTGCGCGTCAGCAGTGCTGTGGCGAAGCTACAATATTGGGAATGTCATCCTTAGTTTTTTTTGGAGTGATAGCATTGAGAGTAATTGTTTTCTTTTCGTCGTCAGAAACAAATCACCGAGCCAAGTGTGCCGCTGCTATGGAGAAGGTGAAGGACCAGGAACCTTGGTTTGGCATCGAGCAGGAGTACACATTCCTGGACACAACAGGCAAGCCCTTTGGTTGGCCCAAGGGTGGCTTTCCGGGGCCCCAGGGGCCGTACTACTGTGGAGTCGGCACTGGGCGTGTAATGGGCCGTGATGTGGTCGAGGCCCACTATAGGGCCTGCCTCTACTCTAATATCAACGTCTCTGGAACCAACGCCGAGGTTATGCCTTCCCAGGTACGACCATTTTCGCCACTTTTATGTCCTTTTCTCTCTCCCTCCGATGTTCCTTTCTCTGACGACGGCGCAGACAGAAAGAAAGGGCGCGGGCACACATGCTGAGCATGCCAGGCCAGCCCGCGCTGCGGCTGCGGCAGCTTAAGGTCCCTATATGAAACTTGTTTTATCTAGGGACCCTACTGTAGTTCTCCCCCGCTCCCCTACTCCTTGCGCACTGGTGCCGCTGTGCTTCCGTTGTGGAAAAAAAAAAAAAAAAAAAGCCTTTCATGTCGCGTGGCCCGGCTTTTTACACACATATATCAAGCTCTCCCGCTTGGCGTGACAAATTGTAAACAGTCGCTCTTACTTTTTTTTTTTTTTCGCTGAGCTTTTCACAAGCAGAATTTTATTCAGTACGTAGGAACGCACCGCCTTCTATTCAGTTCGTTATCGAGTACATGACTGAGTGGAGTATATAAGCTCCTCTTGTCCACAGGGCATAAACTACCGTATAGTCACAAAAGGAAGTGTAGTGAGATGTTCACACTGGCTCTTTGTTTTTTTTTTTTTGTATTTCTCTTTGCATTTGTCTGTGGCATGTGAAGTCGTGTTGATGGAATTTCATATGAATGACACTGTGCGCTGGCACTGTGTCACTGCAAGCAGATTACCGTAATTACTCGTATCTAACGCGCACCTTCTTTCCGGTTAAGCGAGTTCATAAATCGCATACGCGTTAGAATCGAGTACGGAATACGGTCATTCTATTGCCATCGGCATTCCAAAATGGCCGTCCCCTACGTGTGTCAGCATGGTGTGTCGGCCATTTCTTCCTATGTGTTTCCCATGTGCGGCACTTCGTACGTGTGCTGAGGAGTTCGTCATCTTGGTGTGCATTAGCATCGACAGCATGGAAGGGCAGACTCCAAAAACTCGATGAGTGCACCACGATGCCGCTTTTAAAAGAAAAGTCATCGCGTGTGCCGAAACGGACATAAATCGGGCTGCATCGCGGTCGTTCGGAGTTCCTGAAACGTGCGTGCGGGACTGGCTGAAACAAAAGCAGAATATTGTCGACAGCACAGATTCACGCAAAGGCTTCAGCGGACCATAGCAGGGTCGGTTTCCGCAAATTGAAGAGCTGCTCGGCGAGTATGTGATTGAGCAGTGAGCGGCACAGCGGCCCGTGACGACAGAACTGCTCCAAGTGCAGGCTATGCAGTTAGTCTTAAAAAAAGGGCTAATGCGGAGCCAGTTTAAAGCGAGCAGGTGCTGGCTAACTAACTTTATGAGGAGGAAAGGCTTTTCCCTCTGAAGGCGAACGGGCATATGCTAAAAGTTGCCGGAGGAGTACGAAGAAAAGCTTCAGTTTTCAGAGGTTTGTCCTAAGCTTGCGGCACAACAACGGCTTCCTGCTTGGGCAAATCGGGAATGCCGATCAGACGCCTCTTTACTTCGACATGCCTGGCACCACAACCGTCGAGAAGGGGGCGAAGCAAGTTCGCGTGCTGACTTCGGGCCACGGTAAAACTAGTGACGGCAATGCTCCGTTGCACGTCAGATAGGCACAAGCTTCCCCCGTACCTCATATTTAAACGGAAGACGCTCCCGAAAGGAGTCTTTTTCCTGAGTGGTGTGATCGTGTGGGCCAACAAGAAAAATGGGTGCGCGTTGCAATCGACGTCTTACTTTTTTTTTTTCGTCGTGGAAACTGGGTGCGCGTTACAATCGAGGGCGCGGTAGAATCGAGTAAATACGGTAATAGGGAATGCGAGCAAGGGGGTTGAGAAGGCCTCGGGATCGGTGCCAGTATACTTAATGGTACAATTCTCGACTATCGCCACAAAGGTTGCCATGGAACTGCTTAGTACGGTGCGAAGTTCTTTAAACGCAACCTTTGCACATTGCTGACGCTCTTCCAGAGCTGTGACAGAATTACTCACATTGTCGTTTGCTGTCAACTGAGTCACCAATGGCGAATACACTGCGAAAACTTTTGTTCGATCCTGCCTTTGGTTTCGTATTCCCTGAGGCACGGGTAAAAAAACGTTCATCGAAAAGCTGGCAGCGAGGTGAAGGTCGCAAACGAACAGGATGTTTTTGCTCTGCTGTGCCGTTTCTACGCATTTCAGACTAAAAGTGCTGCATGCCAACTAGCCTTCCTTGTGGGGTGGTTATTTACTGACCTTTTGTACGCAGTGGGAGTACCAAGTGGGTCCCTGTGTTGGCGTGAGTGCTTCTGATGAGCTCTGGATGTCCCGCTACATTCTTCATCGCGTTGCCGAGGACTTCGGCATCGTTGTGACCTTCGACCCTAAGCCCATGACCGGTGACTGGAACGGAGCGGGCGCGCACACCAACTTCAGCACTAAGGCCATGCGGGCTGAGGGTGGAATCAAGTGAGTCCCTATATCGCCCACATCCTTGCATTGTCGCTTTTGGTGAGCATTCTAGTGGCTGCCAAAGTGCTGCGGCACACACAAAAAAAAGCAGCTTTGCCATATTTGTGCCAAGCCCAAAGGAAGTGCGGAGCGGGACGGCCTTTATTTTTTTACGGCTCCACTTTTCTGGACCGTTTCGGTTTTCAGCCGATCTTGAGACGGAGGCTGTTCACAGTAGGGCCGCACGAGCGGTATGCAAGCACCTGTCGATTGGCCTATGCGATGTTAGCGAAGTGCTGGCGACTGTTCGGCGAAACAGAGGTGCTCGTTGGCGACTATCATCAGCATCTGCCTATGCGTGTTCAATTTAAAGGAAGTACGTGCACTGTTACGTTCTGTACTGCAGCGGCACTAGTTGCATGGTTGCGGTCGTGGATGCCAGAAACGCTACAGAGGGTCTTTAACCCGCGCGATTGTTTACGTTTGCTTAAGCTACTGTATCTAGAATGTAATCAGCGGACTCGCTCGCTGGATTCCTTGCCGACCAATTGTGCCCCCGCGATCTCCGACGACAGCGCAGATCTGGCCGACTGGCTCACCCTACGCTATCTCCTGACGCCGTGAAGCTCTCACCGAGTGGTGCCCCGTCCTTAGACTCCTTTGACCCTGTTCCCATCTTTCTCTATCTTCTCCTTACTTCTGTATGTGGGTGTCCTCGTCTCTATCCCTATCCCTTTTCTATCCCTATCACTTTATTAAACCCCCTTATCCTCATCCCTCGTGAGCCACTGTTGAGGTGTCGAACTATGATGCAGACAGTTACAGGGCTCACTTTTGTTTTCTTTTCTCTTTTAAAAATCGCTTTTAAAAAATCGGCCCATCTGCACTAGGTTGCGTTCGGCGTCGCATCGCAGTGCTTGAATGTGCACGCGCTTCAGCTTGTTAAATAAAACAGGACGTTCCCGCACACGTATATTCAGGTAGGGAGGGTGTGCGTGTCGGCAACAGCGAGGCACACTGACGACGATCAGGCCATTGATCGTGAGGTTACAGAAATGTAGGTCAAGACACGGGGACAGGGAGATGATGAATTGCCCATTTCATTAGCTTTTACACGAGCCAAGTATGTAATCAATAAAAAAAAAAATATGATTTAAAGGGCTCGCTTTTCTGTTCAATTCAACCTTAATGAAAACCAGAAGATAAGTAAGCTAATAAAGGTGTGGGGAATGTTAACTGTACTATTTTAAGTGCATCGTAGCAATTGTGATATAGATGTGCATAACAACAAAGTGGACAAAAAGACAATTTTAACTTCCACTGGCAAGCACTAAACCTGCAACTTTCAAATGATGCACCTGATGCTCTGCCGTAGCTCAAGTTGTATAGCATTGCCTGCATTTTCCAAAGGTGGCAGCTAGGTTCAGTGTCTGTTGGGGGCAAGTTGTCTTACCATCCACTTTGCTTTATTAACATACATATCACAATTATACATATGCAATGGTGCAGTTTAGGTCCCCTGTACCTTTGCTTAGCTTCACTGTTTACTGGTTTTCAATATCCTGCATAAGTGTAACTGGAAATTTTGAAAGAATGCAGCAGTACCCGAATGGTTTTATGAAGGGCAATGTAAGCTTGAATGCCACAGTGGATCATCACTTGAACACTGTGTCTGAATAAAATAATTCGATGGTCATCGCATCTAAGTTATCATGTCCAGCCGCTATTAATGCATATGAACGATAACAAATTGAAGTCCATGTATTAAAAAATACCTCTGTGATTAGATGGTTTATACAACTATGCATGTTAGTTCAATTGTTTATATTTGGTATCACATTTTCACCAAGCATACAACTACGATGTCATTATGTCTTTCATTGTGTTTTTATGTGTACAAACACGACGCAATATGTGGTAATGCTATCTTTTGTACAAGTGTACATATTAATGGTTTGCATTTTGCTTCCGTAGTTACCTCATAAACTACTTTCCCTTTTACTAGTATAATTATTTGCTTTTGCTAGCACATATCTTTGTATTGCTCCTACATTGGTTGGTGCAAGCTTTTACCCCTATCTCCTGTTTTTTATTACTGCACTTGATTCAGTGAAAAGTAAACAGCAACTGGCTTACTAGGTGTCAATAAACAACTTTGTCAACTCCATATGACACACTGATCATGAAATTCTGAAATTTGAGGATTGGTTATGTCACCAATGTAAATATAATTTTGCTTTACATCCATCTATGAAATATCTTCAGTCAAAATAACTTAACCTCTGTGGTTTGAGGATACATGTAAGAGAGAAAAAAGCAACATTATTGAAATAGACTGTTCGGTTACTATGGTAGGAGCCAGGGCCAAGGGAGAGTTGGGGTTCTGACACCCTCCACAGCTTCTTCATGCTTGAACTTTTTGGGTTGCATTATAGTATTTACACACCGACCACCAGTGGCTAAAGTTAGCCTTTCACCACATAAACACTGCCCGGGAAAAAATTCCTGGGTTTAGCAATAGATCGAGCCCCTTTTGCAGGGTCCTGTGGGCAGTTGCAGCTTAACGGTTGCCAATTGGTTTCGAATTGCAGATTGCAAAGCCACATCTCCCATGGCCATATGTTAGGTCTCTTGTTAAGTGATCGCAAGAAGACTCTTGCCAGACACTGAGTTGAAGTTATTGTCTCGCTAACCGTATCAGTTAAGGTGTTTGCATCCTACTGGCTTCTGTGCAGGGCAACTGTTCAGGCTTGGTGCTATTTTGTGTAAATGTACGAGTTCATGCGACATGGGATGAGGTCCACATCAATTGTTGCTCCTAAATCAGGTTGCTTGTGTCTGGTTCTATTTTCACATACATAAGGCATTGAAGGGTAACATAGTCACATCAAGACAGAGGGCCCCTGGGGTGTTTGCAAAATTGACTCTGCATGATACTTTGTGAGATTGGTTCCCATTGGCTATACCTCACTTGCACCCCCACCCCCTTTGGTGCACTCAATCCTGCTGTGTCAAACTAGCCCAACTATCTGCGAGTGCTTCACTGAATTAGTAGAAACGCAATATAGTGCATAATATGAAGCCATACTACTCATGCACTAGTCTTTACCAATTTATTCCTTAATTCATTGCCTGCATTTCACTCGAGGGTATTCCAGAAAGACTGTTCCAGCAACAATAGCATATGGACTGCATGAAGTGAAACAGTGTTTACAATCTTAGCCTTACGAATCGAACTACATTGCTTGTGAAACATAATAAATGATCTGAACAATACTTGACCATTTGGAAAAACAAACAAAAAATGTGTAGCATACAAATGGTAACAAACACAATATACACAGATACATTATTGATTACGGTAGTGGATGCTCACAAAATACATAAATATTCTGCCATGGCATTATCTCTAGATAGTTCAGGGTAAACAAATTATAAGTGACATGTAGCTTGCAAAACTTCAATCAGCAGTTTTTCTATTGATTCAGAGCATGAATTCACTACAAATCTGGCTAAGCCATGGTCAACTGGGTTTGTTGGTTTTATCGTGGCGAACGGCAACAAAAGCTATCGTTTTTTTCTTTGGTTGGCAATTGTAGTGGCACGAGACAAGCCTCAATACATGACGTTATTGTCCTCCTTTAATTGCATTGCAATTTCAAAACTAGTCTTATAACAAAAAAACCTGACAATTTATCATATGGGCACTTAAGCTGCTGGGGCTGTTTTGTAATTTACAACTCATTTCTTGGAGCGTAGATTGGTGTACTAACCGGTAAGTATGTTAAATCACAATCATTCAAAAGGCACGAGTCAGTATGAGTGCACGAAGAGTAGGTAAGTAGACACGAGTACGAGTGTGAGTGAGTACTTGCAAGTGGGAGTAGGCGTGCAGCAAATGTGATCAAATAATTTTTGTTCTGTAATATAGAAAGGACTTCAATGAGATTTGTCTTCAGAGCAATTACTATAAAAAAATTTGATCCCAAGTAGACTTAACAGCTCTTAACAGGGCACTGTGCAAGTGCAGGAACATCGACATGAGCTGACAAGCTCCTGCACTGATACTTTCGGTCCATAATATACTCCAACAATTTGGTGCTATGAAGTATGAAGTTCAGCCTCATGGCATGATGCAATTGTAGCCGCGCTACATATGGCTTGAAGCCTTTCATGTATTGCAGCTTACACCTTAGTGTGTGTGCTATGGGGGCGTCATTTCTCACCTGCTTTTTAATTCATATGTTTGCATGTATTAAGTTTCACATTGCTTGCAGCACTTGGGCTATGTTTTTTTTCAGAGGGGGATACTAACTCGTGTAATAATTCTTTGTGTTCACTGTTACTGCGTTTCGCTAAAACCTTACTGTTTTCACATGTAGCAAGCCATACCTTCATATATCGCAACATTCTTAAATGGTGTCCATCATTTTAACACTCGCCCTAACAAAGACGAGCTGAGCTCATCGACATAGTTATAAGTCTTCTACTGAAAACAAGTAGGGCTCATTCACACTGAAAGAAGTGTTCAGGACGCCACAATTAGGCTACTCTGAATAAGTTGTCCCAGTTCTTTATGGTTCAATTCAAATAAACAATGCAATAAAAAACTGTAAAGTACGCTCAAAGCAGGCATATTGATAAAGATAAAAATGAAATATAGCAACTGCAAATTAAAAATAGCTGCAGCTCTGTTTGAAAAAAGAAGAAAATGCATGCTTGCCTGAGCTTTGTGCAATGACAAATTTCGCTTCTGCTGAGATAATGGCTCCAACTACACAAAATAGCCTTTTTTGCTAAATTTTATGATTAAGATTATCAATGCTTTTTAACGTCTACCAGCAGTGGATGCAGCCAGATATAAACAAACCCCCACAGGTTTTATTCACTGGCTATCTTGTCCCTGCGCATAGTTTTTTAAACTTCAGTTGGACATCTTCTGCACTGAAGGCCAGAGACGTTAGCGCACTTTCTGTGGTGCAGTGCAGTGAAATTATTCCTCTGCACATTCACAAAAAAAATTTGCTTGTTGTATAAAGACACATGAAATCAAATATGGAAATAAAAAATCGGACCAGTATTTTTTATCGCTTCTGGCAAGAAGTGGTGTCAGAAAAGGGGTGACACAGATTACAAGCATGATGGAAATACCGTATTTACTCGCACAATCCTCGCACTTTTCGTGGCGAACAACCGATTCAAAGTTGGGGTGGGGGGGTGCGAGAATTGCGTAGGGAAAACTTTCTACGAAAACCTACAGAGCGAGAAAGAAAACGAAGTGGCCGCAAATCTGGATTCTCGCACCAGCAACTAACATCAAGCTTGGAGAAGTACCAATTAAAACTTTCCTCAACAATAAAAGCACAGGTTCAACAAAAGGCAAGGTTTATTTACTTGCACTTTTTTTGTGTCTCAAATAGTCGAGAATTGGAATATCATAAGTAAAGCTTTTGTTGCTCAACGTTCGTCGCTTTGAAGGCTCCTGTTAAGCAATGAACGCTTTGCGTTCGTCGCTCAACAAGAGCGCTCAAAAGGTAAGCGTAGGACGTCAGTATCGGGCTGATGGCTACTTCACAGAATCGTCCACAGTTTCCTTCTGAAGAAATAGTTTACCATCAATCCCAGTTTTAGGCTCACGGAAGGCCCAACTCGTATTGGTGGCTTTCAGCTACAGTCACCAGTATCGAACACAGAACTCGTCCATTCCGAACGGCCCACTGACGGCCCTGCTGTTGTTGTTTAGTGCATGATCAATCACTTTCAACTTGAAAGCAGCCGTGTAGCTTCACTATCGCCCCATAACGTGACAAGAATACAGACACAGCAACCCGCAGTTGACACTTTGGCTTGGCTTGGATTCGATTAATTCTGTGCAATAATAGTACGCTTGATGCTTGAGAGATGACGCCAGATGGCGCGTGCTATGATCAGTGGCTGGAACGAGCAGACCACATTATTGCGGCAGTTTTCAAGGGTGCAATAATTACTCGAGGAAAAAAATCTTATTTTTTTGTTGGGTGATGGGGGAGGGGGGGTGCGAGAATTATCTGAGTGTGAGGATTACGCGAGTGTGTACGGTAGCACAGTACATAACCAAACACCCAAGTAGTGCAGGAATGTACAGTGACTCAATAATGAAAACCTAGAATAATTGTTTGCTATATCAGACTCCTGACAACTGTACTCATGACTGTAACGTAGGTGTCTTTGTAGCTTAGCAGGCAGTGTTGTGCTGATAAGCATGAGGAAACTGTTTTGATTTCTGGTGATGATGCCCCGCGTTACGATGGGGGCAGAGAGCAAGAGCACCAGTCTATTATCGTGAGCAGTATGAGAGAGAACACGAATGTATAGGAATGGCTCTCTCCACACTATGCTTCATTATCGCAATAAATTCACAAGCACCTAATGATGCAATCAGCTGCTGCTTTGTATCGGCTCTAGCAAGGCAGCAATGGCAACGCTTAGTAGAACCATCATGCCTTTAGTTGAAAAAAAAGTGAACATAGTGCGCGCTAAGAGAACAGGAAATTGAGGGATGAAGCGTGGCACGAGGATTTTTGCACTTTTTCACTGGAATAAACAACAGTGTTGAGACACACTGCTTCATCTCTTTAGGCCTGTTCATCCTGAAAACCCGTTCATCTAGGAACGAATTCTTCGGATTTTACACCCTTTTCAGTGTTTCCATCAGCTGCTGCTGTAAACCACGCAACAGTGTGTTCGAGGCTATTTGCCATGCACTTCCGTATTCCCTGCCATAGTGTTCGTAAAAGTACTTATTTTAGGTTGATGTTATAGAGCACAAGGAGAATAATCCACAGTATCGCCCCGCCACGGTGGTCTAGTGGCTAAGGTACTCGGCTGCTGACCCGCAGGTTGCGGGTTCGAATCCCGGCTGCGGCGGCTGCATTTCCAATGGAGGCGGAAATGTTGTAGGCCCGTGTGCTCAGATTTGGGTGCACGTTAAAGAACCCCAGGTGGTCGAAATTTCCGGAGCCCTCCACTACGGCGTCTCTTCGGCATCGGAAAGGCCTCAGTATAATCATCAGCCTAACTTTTCCGGTTTGAGTCACTGACTGTTTTTGTTTTTTTCCACATCACCCTAGTCTGCATGCTTTTCGATACCTGCAAGCATCAACGGCACTGTGGGCAAAAGGTTTGTATATGTAAATCAAACTTTCACCAGCAGAGTTGAATGGCTAGCCTTTTTTAGTTACAAACTAGTGTGCCATACCCTCCTGCCAACGTGGCTGTCATTCCGCAACTCTTTCTGATTACAGTAATATGGTTTTAACGCATAGTGGTGCTCTTTGCGGTGTATACAACCAGTTCATTTGCGAGGTTAAGACAAGCCTGCCTCTCCTCTTGCATCACAGGGCCATTGAGGCGGCGATCGCTCGCCTCGCGAAACACCACAAGCGCCATATTGAGGCCTACGACCCAAAGCAGGGCCGCGACAACGAGCGCCGCCTGACTGGCCATCATGAGACGTCGAGCATCCACGACTTCTCATCTGGTGTGGCCAACCGTGGCTGCAGTGTGCGGATCCCACGAGCCGTTGCAGAGCAGAACAAGGGATACTTCGAGGACCGCCGGCCATCGTCTAACATGGATCCCTACATGGTCACTGAAGTTCTTGTCCGTACCTGCCTCCTCGAAGAGTAGACCATCACAGCCGAGAGTTTTCAGTCGCATGCTAACTCGGGGCTGCCTTTGTGAGCCTTCAAAGATATCTAATGTGCGGAGCAAGCTGAACTCCTTTAGGGTAAAATAACTGTTCTATAATTTGCATGTTTTGACTATACCTGAATCGGCTCAGTGAGAATCTGCATGGCAGCCAGATAACTTTAGTTTCTCTCCCTTTGTGTGCAAAAGATAGTTCTGCCACTTGTATTCATATAATAGTATCCTGAGTGTGAACGTTATTTTTATGCAAAAGAAAAGCTATAACTTCGTTGGAAGATATTTGTAGTCTTGTTTTCAGAGGAGCTTTACGAAATGTTTTCAAGATGTCTTCCAGTACTATGTCCACGAAATGTTGGCTGTGAGCAAATTGTGAAAAGTTACACAGCCTGAACTCCAATGAAGGTCGCCTAAGGTGTGCTGGGTTTTTGTGCCAGACAGTACTGGCTGCCACTCGGGACTCACCGGTGCTCTTTTCCGCTTGTTGAACTGGAAAACACGTGTGCAGTTCCGTATATTTAGTGTGCAGTTCCGTATAGTTATCTTAATTTCTCGCTCTTTATATTTGTGTGTTCAAGCATGTGTAAACTGTAAGGTTCCATGTTAGTAAGGAAGGCATCTGAAGAGAGGCCCTTGGTTGTTTTCATTGGATGTTTCTAGAAAGCTACTCATTGCTGTTGAATTGACATGACATCACGCCACTCGAGATTGTGCACAAAGTAGTCAATTCAGTTTTTCTTGATGTGATTGTGAAGTTCACATTGCCAAACAGTGGGATGGTATATCATTCATGCCCATGGTGCAGTGTTAAAAAAAATATTTTCCTCATGTTGCACAGTGAATGTTTCCACCCTCTCAATGCATGTATCTCGTGGTGGCACTCACAGAAATTTGAAAATGCATGCATCATGGGAAACTCTTATACACACATATATGGGCATCCTCATGGCCACAACATTCCACTCGTTTTGTACAGTTGCACATGCAGCTTTCATTTGTGAAACCTTTTTGTACATAAGAATCTAAGTGCCGTTGCCCTGTGGGTGTTTTTAAGTATCCAGCGTGCTTTTATTTGATTGACATTTCCGAAACTCTATATATTGTTTATTAAAAAGGAAAGCGAAACCTCGTTTTGTTTAGTTTATTTCTGTGACATTGTTTTGATTCACTCACAAACTTTGGTAGGTGTAGAAAGTACAGCATGCCCCGCATAGCGATACTCATGTTATCACACTATTCACAACAAATTTGGCTAGCTATGTAGTTCATAAATATGCCGGACAGCATCACTACGATATTCGTTAAGAATGCGTGCTCATATTTGCAGCGTACCCCTAAGCAACTGCAAAACTAACACGGTCCTGAAGTCTGAAGTGTCTGGCTGGGTTTAGCTACAAACGCCACTTTTATTTCATGTCATAACTTTCACTTTGTCGTTCCTAGCTCGCCTGGCTTCAGGCTTCATTGAATGAAAAATAAGGTTCTGATCAAATCTACGTCCCCCCCCCCCCCCCTTGTTGGATTGGGGGATGGGAAGCAAAGCATTAGAAGATGGTCGCGAGAAGGAACAATACACCCGACGCTTGTGTCTATTGGTCATTTCGTCCATGCCGAGTTGCACTAACCTTAATCCAGTACTGCTGAACAACAAATCAACATCGATATCTGGTGAAATAAGCATTAGGCTAATGCAAAATAGTTTTTTTTTTTAAAGATTGGCGCGTATGCCATTTCGCAAAGCGTGTGTGCATGTGCCAGTTTTAAGTCTCATAAGCTGGAATGAAACGCTCGAATAATTGTCAACATTGCCATTGTCTTTCACGTGCGCCATGCGGCGAGCTGCATATGAGATCGAGAACGTGTTGACATTTTTTTTATTCTTCCCATGTGTCAACTTTTCACTTCGAGACGATGTGTTGCATTCGCTATCGGCTCACCTTCTCAACTCCTTTATTTGTGGCTGCCAGGCCCCTGTTGACGATTTGCGATATAGTAGCGCCTTCGGGATCGTGAATGAGTCGCACATGAATGAGTCATGCATGTCATTAGTCAAGCTGCGGAAATACGGTACGCAAATACATTAAAGCAGAATGGTAGTGCTCTTCCTTTCCCGCTCATTGCGATTTTGTCTCTACCAATGCCAGTAACAATGTGTCTTTCGAGCGACAGCTTCATCATTACCAGTGTGTATGCGGACAGGCGACAACAAGGGGTGACAACCCCCAAGTAATTTCAGAGCGAACACTGTTATGAGATTACACTGACAGTCGTTTTGGCCGTCGTAATTGTCGGTCCGCGCCGTAATCCGTAACGTATATCGCGCGAAATAAGAACTAAATAAAGAAAAAGAATCGCTCAGAATGGAAATGGGGTTCAATTTGGGCCTCTCCGTGGCAGCCCAGTATTCTACCACTGAGCAATGCCGGTGCTCGAGTCTCCATCGCAGGCAGTATTCATGTCTGCTTCATGTCGGGAAAAGTAACTATGTGTCAACGTATAAACAGGTGAAAAATGCCCAGGCGTCACAGAATGCGAATTGTGTAGGTAGTCTTCGTCACAGAAAGACGATACACAGGCTTCATGTCGGAAACTGTGTACTTTAACGTAATGTAGTGGGGTAGAAGAGTGAAAAATAACCAGGCGTCACAGAGGCAAGCGCCACACAGTGTGAATTGCATAACAAGTGGGTTGTTGAATGCTACCAGCCCAGTAAAAAAGGCACAGCCAAAATTCATCGTCATCAGCCATCGCATCGACAAAGTGCACAAAATACCTTGCACACGTGTAGTGGGTACCTTTCCCCGCAGAATGATGATTGAAGGCGTGATGGGTGCTTCCCACTTTGTATTAACGATGACTAATTGCGCAGTGGATACCTTGCTAGTGTACTAGCAACGTAGTCTCGAGAGTGTTCACGATGGGCTGTAGATGTACCGTTCTTGCAGCTTTCGCAGTGACTGTGCTGCGCTTTTCATGCAGGCCTGGTGAATGTTCGAATAAAAAAAAAAACTTTTGTAGGGTTCGGGTGCCTTCACTGGAAAATGCACAGCAACCGTGGAAAAGATTGATAATATGTGGTGTTTGACGTCCCAAAACCACCATATGATTATGAGACACGCCGTAGTGGAGGGTTCCGAGAATTTCGACCACTTGGGGTTCTTCAATGAGCACCCAATTCTGAGCACACGGGCCTACACCATTTCCACCTCCATCGGAAATGCAGCCGGGATTCGATCCCGCAACCTGCGGGTCAGCAGCCGAGTATACCTTAGCCACTAGACCACCGCGGCGGGTCGACCGTGAAAAAGAGGAGTGGTACCGCAAAACGGTATACTCGCGTACCGTATTTCCGTAACTTGCTAAACGTCTTCGAACAGTCGCCACAAGCACGCTCGCGTCATACGTATGTGCGTTCATTTCTCGCCTTACGCAGGCGCTATAGTACATCTAGCTGTGGTGAACTCCAAGTGCCAGTTTTCAAACGATGCTACAAGGCCATATGGCCAGATACCCAAAAGATGTGTCGAACATTGGGTAGAAACTCGCTTTTTTTTTTTTTTGCCCTTGTGATATCTCTACTTGGAATTTGATGCTCGGGGCTTTCGGTTTGAACCTACAGAGAGAAGACGGGTTTGAAACTCACGATACCACATTTAAAAAGTGGCGACGGGGTGGTCCTTTCACTGTCTCTCGGATACATAGGCTATATTTTGTCAGATTCCAACACGGAGTCCGATATTCAAAAAGAAGAAAAAGGGGGGAGGGGAACTGTTTGTGGGGTTTAACGTCTCAATTTGATTCAGGCTATGAGAGACGCTGTAATGTAGTTTAGACCACCCGGGGTTCTTCAACACGTGCGCTGATGTCGCGCAGTACACTGGCCTCTCCTGAACTCACGTCTGTCGGGTTACTGTAACCGCTAGGCCACCGTGGCTGCCTGGAGGGAAGAAGAGGACTAAACCTGGTGCGTAACAGTGACAGCCGATGGTGGAATACATTGCCATAGCTCCCCGCCAAAACTTTCGCGTCATATGTGCGAACACACGCAAGCGTAGACATGAATAGAGACCGCACCCCTCCCCCGTGAAATAAATTTCTGGCAACGCCCCTGGTAAGCTGGTATAATTGACCAAGCTGGCGGGTGTCCCTATATAGACAGCTTGATCTTGTTCGCGAGGCAATGGGGGTCTTCAGGGCTCGAGCTTGTGAGGTGAGTCTCCTATTTCCCGAAAGTCTGGTCCATATACGGGGTCTCTATAGGTCGTGTTCACAATTCCATGCAATCAGGGTGCGAATATTGTGCGCTGGGTAGACTGCGCAGTTTCAGGTAATGGGATACGCAGTATGCAACTGGGTGCCGTGCAGGGATCTTCGGTCTGTCGTCAGAAATTTGCCGTGATTCTTTTCCAGACAGGATGGGGCGCGATGGCGTACATATGTTCCCCTACTCACTCTCTAATTAATGGCTCATAATATCTCAGTACTTTTTTTTTTGAACGCACTGATGTGGTTTCAGACGAACCCTGAGGGATAGCCCGAAGATTGTGATACCGGGCAGTGGTGTGACCAACTACACTGTACGCTAGAGATTCGTGCCCGAATTCCAGATGACGTATATTTCCAGAAAGTGTTGTTTATTCAGAATTTCCAGGGTTTCTTTGGAAATTCAGCCCTTTCGAGAACTTCTGCACGTTGTTTACGAGTACGCCGCTGTGTCTAACTCGCACTTGCCCGTCCTGGCCATTAGAACTAAAGGGAAAAAAAGATATCCGCTGGCTATATCTACAAAGCTTTGTTTTCTCACCTGTGCTACAGCGCCGCCCGCTAGTGCAGTGTGCTTGAAAAGTTGTTTGTGGGGCAATATCTGGCTCGGCGAATCTACTATATGATCGCATTGTTGACAAGTGTCACGAAAAGCGTGTCGTTGTACACTGCACAAGTCGGTGTGACATGGCTTTTGACATGGTTCAAAGGCGGCGGGTTCCTTGTCTCGATAATTACATAGAGATCCTGATTTCGTGTTGTGCGTGTTATACCACCGTCTTCTGAAGCATATGTATGCGTCATATTTTTTTCGCACACCATTCGCAATGCTACGCAGATATTTATCCCACAAAGATAACGGAAGGCAGCTTATCGGCGGCACATTGTTACTGCCGTTGTCTTCAACTCTTTCCTGTCGAAACGCAATATGTCGAACTAGAAAACAGCAATGGGGCAAACGTCCGTTGTATGGAAGACCTTCATTCAAGTCTGTAAAAAGTAAAAATAGCTAACAGATTAGAGGAAAGAAACGTTTGTTGATTTTTTTTTTTTTGGGGGGGGGGGGGGTTGTTGGAAATTAAGGTGGATAGCGCCCTTCTTTCAAGACCCCATTGATTACAACGGCTCGATAGGCCTGGTCAAGGGTCGCCGGTTGGCTTCCCATTTCCAGTTTCGTGAGTCGCGCCTCCCAAGGCCATCTGAGGGGAGTACTGTACAGCAGAGGCGAGATGGCAGCCTCCGAGCGTAGTGTGCACAGATATGCGATGTGGCCCAATGTCGGTGTTGCTTCGCACCACAGAATATTGTTGCTGCATCTATGAGGGTTACATTCTGTGTAACCTGCGTGAATTTGGGAAAGTGTTCGTTTGCGGGGTACGCCAGTACTTTGCTTGTCTCCTTAGTGTGAAACGGGCGAGGGGGGCTTCGTTTGGGTTGAGGTTAGGCACTGCAATAGAAAAATAAACGAGAAAGATGGAACTGGACAACACTTCTGTCAAGCCGGGAACGCTTCGCGGCATGTAGAGTATACGTGGGCGAGTAAAACAATGGTAATAATAAAAAGAAAAAAAAAAGCGGCTACATGATCGTGTATGCTGGGGTCCTAAAAGGACACCACTCAGTGAATCTTGAAGCTGCTATGCTGTATGCACGTAGACGCATGCAGGGCTTCAACGATCCTCGGCGTATGTGCCGCATTCGTAAATACAATGAAGACTTGCCTGTTCAGTATACCCTGTACGTTGTCGTGTTTTTTGTTTGCATTTTCAATACAATGTGGTTTTTTGATACATACGAGATGTGTTAGAAGTAATGAGACTGAGTTGGTACTTACCAAAGTTTTATAGTTTTTTTAATAACAGTGTT